GCGGCGATTTGTCGGCTGACACAAAGCACCGCAAAGCAAGCCGATGTACGGCTGATTTCAGCCGATGTACGGCTGAAATCAGCCGTACCACACTGTTCGGCTCTCTTCACTTCTGATCCGTCATTCACTCGGCTGCCCTCGGCAGCTTTGTGAATAGGCCCCCTTAGTCTTTCACATAAGGAGGGGCCTGATATCTTGGAACCTTATGGTAAAGGGGCTTCTAGATTCCGATAAGTCCCCCCCGCATCCACAGGGCTGGGAATGTGAGGATGAGACATACGGTGTCTTGTCAGGAGGTCCCCTAGCAAAGTACCCTCCCTGTGTTGAGTAGGGATGGTCCGCTGGTTCGATTCGAACATGAGTTCCCCCTTAATCAATAGGGTACCCAGATGCAAATAAGCCCCCTTGCCTGCAGACCCCCACAACCACCGGGTCAGGGCTGTGGGGATGAGGCCCTTGTCCCCATCGGCACTGGGACACCCTCCCAGTGCCGAGGGCATGTAGCCTGGTGTGGGAGGGAGGGGGGCACTCACTCGTCCCCCCCCCTTTCCGGCCCTGCCAGGCCTATGTTCGGATCAAGTGTATGGAATTTTAGGGGGGACCCCAAGTTAAAAAACTTTAAGAGTAAAAAAAAATGTAATTTAGTTTTTTTTAGAAATGTCAGTTTTGCTGCAGCAGGTTCTATACATCCCACAGATCCGCCACTTCACAGGCAGGTTAAGGGGACCCCGCAGTAGTCACTTCCAACTATTGGCTGCTTCATTCCATAGTTATGTAATAAAATAAAAACTTTCCAAATCTCCTCCACACCTACACTATGTAATACTGCCAGCTATGATTTGCCCTTCTCTCCCAGGCACTCTGCTAATAGTTGATAGTAGATCAAGTATAGATGTCATGAGAGAGCTCAGTAAAATGTTTTTACTTTTAAAGGAAGAAATAAAGAGGATATTTCTCTTTCTGAGTGACTGCTCTCTGTGCATTCAATAATAATCTTGAAAGAAATTTCTTTTAGAAGCTTTATATTTCAAGTCTATGAAGAAACACTTCACTTTAGGTTGACTGTGGCGTGTGATAGCTTCAGGGAGAACTGGTCACATCCAGGAAAGCTGTCAACTCTGCTGGCAATGGCAAGTCACTTGTGTTTTTGCAGGTATCTGTAGGTTACCACTACTGTGATTTGAGATAGCCAAATAAAACTCCCATGGTTAAAACTGCTAGTGTTGAAAATATGAAATGCGGCCAGCATGTTAAAGGAAATGTATTATAGTCAGTACCCAATTGTTGCAGAAGGATGGCATTGTACAGTATATTAAGTTTGATTCATGCTGTTACAGTTTGGAAGATTTTCCTTCAATGTTACGTTGAGTTTTATTTGAGAGTTTCCAGGTCTCAGACTGTTTGGAAAAATAATTGTATGTCTGCAAATTCAGCAGTGGCACATAAAAAGAGAATTTATTAAATTGCTGTTTAAGGTCTAGGCAGCTGGTAAATAGCACTGTCAGAGCTTGGTATTTTCAGGCTGCACAATTCACCTAGGTGCAGTTGCATGATAAAGACTTAACTGCACCACATTCATTTTAAAAAATACATTCACATTGCTTAAAAGCCTTAACCATGAAAGGTGAAAAAAAAACATTAATTCAGATATGCATTATTAAAATTTGTTTACATTCAACAATTTTAGGTACCTGAATGAATTTATTATTACAGGTATTTAAATCTATCAGTGTATGGCCTGCTTTACTCGACTGCTGTTAGCAGAGGGATTAACTGCAGCTGCTCTCTTACTGTCTAGTCACAGGCTGAAGGATGTGACATGACCTAACTTTATTGTCTAATGGCAGCAGAGAACAGCCTGTCTGGCAGGACTGTGTAAAACCCAGGACTGGATGGACATAAATACACATCCTTTGGCAAACAAATGTACAATGTGTTGGAAAATATATTCATTTCATATTTCCAATACCACTTGATAAAAAGCAGGTCTATAACTGTGGAAAGGCCGCACAGGCTTGGGACAGCTGTTTTATCCTTTATAGCCCATGTAAATGTTGAGTGTTCATTACAAAACAGATTTTCATCATATGTAGAACTTCATCTTTGTGAATTGTGAATTCAAGAGTAGCAAATACAATTTAATTGCATTTATAGAATAATCAGTTTTTTTGTGTGAAAGTACCTAAGAGCAAGTGTTATGATCTTTCTTGCTTCTAACATCCTTTTACAGTAAAGGACTGATTTAAACATCTTCCCTTGCCCCACCACGTATAGCTGGGAGAATAAAGCTCTGCACTATAAGCTGGGCTGAAGATTTATAAATCAGCCCCTCTGCTTAAATTTTATCGTGAACGTAGGAAAGACCTCTGATAAAAGTTTAGTAAATACTAAAACTTGTCATTATTTGATATGGTTTTTCAAAAATGTTGTTTTGTATAAGGTCAAAATAACATCATATTTCACAAAATAACCATTAATTATTATTTTGATTCTAGATTGTGGACTCCAGCTACTCTCCCAACCCATTCACTGTTCTGCCAGTGAGGTCTAAATATAACGTCAGTCTCCACCTGCTCTTATTTGACTTGGAACATGTTTTCGAGCTTTTACAGTCTTCTCAAACCAGTGACCTGAAGTCAGCAAACTCTTTCCACAGCTATGATGCGCTGAAAACAGCAAAAAGTTCCTCAGAAAAAAGACCGCTGACTCTTAAAAGAAATAAAACAGCTGGGTCATTGTATCAGATGGATGGGCCAGCTTCAGAAATTATTGTCCAGGAAATCTTCACCCGACCTTTAGAAGAAATTGGTGGCATAAAAAGACATAAGAAATTTAAAAGCACTAAAAAGAACAAGGCCCAGATGTCCGGAAAAATAGATGTAAATATGGTTACCGATGCTGCAAAACTTCTACTTTCCTGCCTTTTGCCTTGGGGTATAGATAAGGAACTGGACAACTTTTGTGTTAAACACTTGGAAATCCTAAAGCTGCAAGGATCAATCACATTTGGACTCCTATCAGATGTGGATCATTTATGTTTAATGTTACCTGGTTGGAATCAAATAAACTATGATACTACTGGAGATTTTTCACATAATCTACTGTCAAAGAAGGTGATTGAACTTTCAGCAAAATACTCCCTAGTGGCACAAAAACAAAAAAAAAAGAAAACTCAACATGAGAACCACATTTCAACCATGATAGGCTTGGACACCCTATTACATTTTCTGAAGAAGCTTTTATGTGTCAGTAAAACTCTACAGACGGATGGCTCAAAATGTAATCAGTCTGGCAGGTAAAATATTTTAATAGCATGATGTCATTGTATTTATTTGTAATACTAAATTTGCACTTTGCAACATTTAGTGAGCACATTAAGTTTTGGTACTCCTTTACTGGAAACTCTAATGTTCTTATAACTACCAGAGCACTTCAACATTCCAAGAAAAGGTGAAAAGTCATAAGAAGCCAATTTCGTTGATTTGCTTAATAGATAAAGAATGTTCACTTATCAGAATAAAGCTGTCTTATCTTTGAATACCCAATCATGAGCAAGGGAACTAATAAAAACAGGATTTCACTTTGCACATGGTCAAGTAAATAAACTATACACCGCTTTAGTTAGCTAGGTGATGATTACCCTTAAAGTGACACTAAACTCAGGAGTTAAATCTTAAAAATCATTCAAGTACCTTAAGTAGTAACAAAAGTGTATCTTATTTGTAGATCAGTGAGCTCTAGATCCTTAAATCGTCTTTAAATTCATGAATGCTGTGTGTGTTGTAAAGCAGCCGTCACTCCAAGCTCACTCCCATGATGGACTACAATCTCATGTTTAGTTTACTAAATGGAATTTAATTTATAGTCTTTCACGGGGAGAGAGATTGGAGCCGCGGCTACTTTACAACACACACAGGGACCATGGGGAACAAAAGTAGCCACCCTCCAGAAGGAAGAACAGTGTCAGCACTAATTTAACTCCTGAGTTTAGCATCACTTTAAGTGAGCCCCTTTAGTAAATCATCTCCAATGGGACTTTGCCATGATAAGATACATGAAGGGCTACATGCATCAAGCTGCAGTATAATACTAAAGTGGCCAAAGAATCATTATCATATTTGATAATTACACCTGATTCATCAAAGAAAGGTTTGCCTGAAGCTTAACTTTACCACTTAAATCTCACCAAAATCCTAATACTTAATCTAACCCTTTAAATGTAGCCTCTAACATTTTTAAAACATATTTTATTAAGGTGTTTTTTTTTCAAGACAAGGAATAACAAAACAAAGATCAGTGGTAAATCATGTCACATCATACAGGACATTGAACAAAAAGGGGTCTATTCACTAAGCTGCCAAGGGCAGCCGAGTGAAAGAGCGATCTGAAGTGATCCGAACACTGTTCGGCTATTCACTTCAGGCTGGTACGGCTGAGATCAGCCGTACATTGGCTTGCTTCGCGTGGCTTCGGGTGGGCCGAACATGCTCAGCATGTTCTGGCTCCGCCCAGCGGTCAGAAGCAGGCTGTCGGCCGGCCAATGGCCGGCCGCTCGACCAGCTTCGGCTTTCTGCACGGCTCAGCCGAGCCGATGCATATGCGTTCGGCTCGACTGAGCCGCTCGGCCATGATCGGGAGCTGTACGGGCTATTGTGAGTAGCCCGTACAGCACCCCTTCGGTTCTACTGAACCGAAGGGGTCCTGGGGCCGCAGCTAGCCAAAGGATCGGCTGAAGCTACGGCCAGATCCTTCGGCAGCTTCGTGAATAGACCCCTAAGTTTCTAAAATATTTTATAATGAGACATGAGAGAACCTATAGTTGTGTAATCATCAGTGTTAAAAAACTATGACGACCATAATAAGACACCAACCAGGGAAACAGAAAAGAGGGACAGGAAAGAAAACAAAAGAAAAACAATGTCTGCACTATTGAAGGTTTTGCCAATAAAGGCTTTCCATCTCAGGCTTCAACATTTTAATCTGCACCCCTACATTTATTATATAATGTAACAACCTGCTCCCTAAAAAAGCATACTTAGCTTGTATGTATTATAATCACTGTGCAGAAATCTAATGATTAAAAAATGTAAAGGATGTTTGCTATACATTTCTAGTTACATCAGCATTCAGGGAGTAAAATGTCATATCAGGAAAGCTCAGGCAATATTGTTTGTAGTTGATTAGAGGGAGCTTAGTCATGCAACTGGAACTAAAGACCTGGGGTTTCTAATCTTCTCATGTGCTAATATCGGAATATGGTTTTTCAGCATGGAAAAGATGGAGTCTTTACGTGGCAAATGGAAAAGTTCTGAACATTTCACTTCATCATTTCCTGCATTTACAGCAGATATACTGAATGGTAAGTGTTTCAGTTGACCAAAACATAAAATAAATCAAGCTCCACCTTTTTTGATCTCCCTAAATAATTAATATACTGTATTTGATCTATTTCTAGTGTCTTAAAGAGGAACTTCCAAAGCCCCCAAAAAACAGTATGCTCTAAGGTATTATTACCTTTGATGCTCTTTGTTGCAGGAAAAACATATTCACAAGCCCACTGAATCCTGCGTTATCCCTTTGTCCCCCACCGCTTTTTTGCACCACGCCATAATCTTCAACTTTTTTTATCAATAGATGCCGGCTGTCTCTTCTGGGTTCTTGTAGCTGGTCCCCTGATGATGCAGTGCCAGATGAATGAAGATTTATCTGGCACTGTGGGGAAGACTCCTGCACCCTCCTAGAATATCAATGTCACATATTCCAGGAGGCTGCAGAAGGAGGCTTAAACAGGAACATTGCCCATATCTTTATTATGATAACAAATACACCTTTAGAAATGTTTAGTAATGACAATCAACTAACACATACCTCTAGATAATTGCTGGATTTGTATTCTTTACATGCCCTATTTTTCTTTTCCTCCCCATACTTCTCATGGTGGCCATATTCACAAAGGGCAGTTAAATCCATCTCCCTTTACTTTCCGGAATTCTGGCACATGTGACTAGGACATTTGACCAAGATGTAGTAGATCCCATCGCACTGGATCGAGCCCACATAGAAGGTCAGGGGGTGCTGGAAGTGACTGCGGATGCCTCCGCATACCAAATGTAACAAGCCAAAAGTCCCTCGTACTCCATTGCAAATTAAAGTCAATCTCCTTTATTGACCATAGTGATGTCACATTACTAAAGTGACGTTTCGGAACCAAGCGGTCCACGCTTTTTGTTTGCCTGAAGAAGGGGTCGATTGGTTCCGAAACGTCGCTTCAGTAATGTGACATCACGATAGTCAATAAAGGAGTTTGAATTTAATTTGCAATGGAATGTGAGTGACTTTTGGCTTGTTATGTTAGGACATTTGACCATACACATCATCTTAAAGGAAAAATGGCTTTCCCTGAGATGATGCAAGATTTTTCAGTATAGAAATTAGATTTCCTAGCAATGCACTGCTGATATAACCTTAGCAGGATGCATCTCTCAGGCACAGGCTCCATCGCTAATGCCTAAGATGACCAGGAAGTGGAAAAACAGTAGTTGTAAGTAAAATAAAAATATGTATATTTACTAATGAATGTAAGATGATTTTACTTCCGCATTCAGAACTGTGAGTTTTAGTAAAAGGGGGTAAAGTGCCACTTTTCCTAGACAAAAATCAAAGTGTTTGTGTTGCCTAGGTGAGAGTGGAGGGTGGGACAAACATGAGAATAATAAAAAAAAGTTTAAAAAAAAACTTAATTTTCTAGAAAGTGGACTGCTTTTTTGGATTATGGAGGGGGTAGAGTTTGAATACTGCAAAATGTTATATTTGTGTGAAGGTCCACTCTAAGTTGTTTGCTTGTTGTTTGCTTTGTATTTCCACTAACAGATAAGAATGGGTCTAGTTCCACTGATTCAGAAAACATTGCATTAATTAAAATACTATCTACTTGGAAAGATCAAGCAATACAAGTAAGAACCTCCAATTATTAAATACAAGTGTGTGTTTTTTTATTTATTTTGGCAACTCAAATAACACTCTGGGCAAAATTGATAGGACAAAGAGCCCCTGTTGCTCACAACAGCCAACTACATTCTCTATTTTATGTTTCTGGTGTAGTGTGGGAGACTATATAAATAAGGATTCATTACAGTGAATTGCAGTATAGTGGGTTGGAGAGAGTAGAGTATACACAGTAACACATTGAATACACTGTGCTGTACAGAAGCATCAGTATTCCATTACTGTGAATTGCATTGTGGTGTGACTTTTTTCTGTCAGTGTGTACTACCCATTGCATTCAATGTGAATAGAATCAACAGTCCTTATTAGGATTACTTTTTCTTTTGCCTGTGTCAGCAACAAACTTTGCTGCTTTGTAGCAACACATCTGTAAAGCAAAACATCTTTAACCCCCCCTAATACCATTGCTGAAAATACAATTAGGCAATCCCCTACTGTCATCATGCCTAAAGTCATCTCAATAGCACTTCATTGGAAGAATTTGTGTTTTTCGTATATGTTACCCTCAAAGCTACATAGGTCTGGTATGACCAAATTACATTGCATGCGTTGAATACCATTATATATAACATTTTCCTCATTAGGTACATCTAGAACATTTTGCCCAGCTTATTTCTCTAGATGGGTGCATCTAGATGAGGATAAACAACCTTTTAAAATATCTCCTTGTATCACATACTGATCCACTGAGTAAGTCTGGTAATGTGATTGGGGGACACAATGAGTGTGAGGAGTTCGGGTGAGAGTAGAAGATAAACAGAAATAGACTTTGATAAAGATTTGTCTCTCAACAGTGCTGCATTCCACTGCTATAGTTGCCCCTGCACCACCAATTAGCATTGCTGAAACTATTTCTCATAAAGTGTGTGTTATTGTCAGTTTCCAAGACCAGCAGTTATACACTTGGCTAGCTAATAGCAAGGACTGAAGACAATGTATGTGCAGCCAATGCATGACCATTTCTGTGTCTTTTTTTTTTTAGCAAATACATTTTTATTATGAATTTGTCAATAAAGAGGTAACAAAATGGCAACAACCAAATTAAAAGTAAAATCGAAAACAATAAAGTCCCATGACAGTTGTAAGTAACCAAGGCAGGCAAAAGTATGCACTTAGAGAATACATGTAATATGTATCTAAAGGAAAGAACTAAATAATTCTAGTAGTCAAGCATTGCCTGTAGAGTGGATAACTGACATAAGCACTATGTGGGGCGGATTGGATCAAGCAAGAGAGTGTATGGGACTGTAAAAGTATGAAGATGTGTAAAGGGCATCTGAACGGTAGAGGAGACGATGTAAAAGAAAATAAAGCCTTCTGTCTAAAGTCCAGGTGCTAGAGAACATCCTGTAGATGGATTAGCGCTGGAGAACATCAAGTTTTCCTAGAGAGCCTTCAGGTATGGTTCAGAGGTACCATTGAGAGTGTTGGAAAATTGACATGGTATCTTTTAATTGGTCTAAGGTACATTCCGTCGTTAGGAAATGAGTCCAAGCATGGAAAAATTTACCAGTGCATTCCAAGTTATGTTTCGTATCTAATTCATGGATTAGCATGAGCTGGTGGAGTGTAGTGTTCCCATCTGTCAACGTAGGAGGTTGGGGGGAAGCCAGTTATGCAATATATTCTTCTTAATAGCTAGGAGGCAGTAATGTTCCCATTGGGTCAAATATTTCTCAGAGACATGCGGGGAAGTGGATGGAGAGTGAAACAAGCATAAAGCTAAGGAACAATCCCTAGGTATTCCCGATAGTAAGGACATATGATTAAGTGTACGTTGCCAAAGAGATTGCATACAAGAGCAGTGCCACATTTCTGTGTCTTCTGCACAATATGGCAGCTGTTGTCTTCTGCACAATAGGGCACTTGTACAAAATGTTTTTTAAAGTACTGCTAAGCAGTAACTAAGATTTCTTGTTATGATCATTATAGGTAACAGAAGCAATGCAAGCAGTTTTACTGGCTGAAATCAGAAGATGGATGGAAACATTGGGACAAACAGTTATAACAAGTCAACCAGTCTGTACAGTAGATTATGGGCAGTCGCAACTACCTTTACAATATGAGCCCTATCAAAATTCTGAGCAAGTGTTTAACAATTCTCCCATGCAAAGTAAGTTGAATATATGACATTCTACAAAAAATATTGTTATGTCATTTAAACACCAATGTCACCATAAGTATTTGTTTCACACTTTTAGACAATAATGTGTTATTACACCCAGGAGATATCAAGTCTAATGTGGTAGCATTACTCACATGCTTACTGCTGGCTTGTTGCTTTCACTACACCCTATAGAGATAGAACTAGAGCTAGAACTAGAGTTAGAGCCGCTTGCCAAGCATATTCAGCCTATACGCTGCCTTCTGGGGTCTCCGTGGAGCCCCAGCATAGCTACCCTATCATAGGGGCTCATGATTACATACATTTTTTCAATGTAGAAAAAAAACTCAGTGAATAAAGTTTATTGAACAAAAGTAAAAAAATGCTGATCCTCCAATGCAGAAAGCTGAGGGAAAAGGAACCAGCAGAAATGGAGAACAAAACACACATGTACTGCATAAGAGGCACACAAATATCATAGGACATTTAGCGCATTTGCATATAGTCAGGTGTTGATTGCATGATGTGTACAGTGCACACTCACCAACTGGAAGTCTGGGGAATGTGGCTGGAAGAGAGACACAGCAACAACATTTGAAATGGTAACAAAACATGTTGGGTGGTGCAAAATATAAAAAAAAAACCTTGAAAATACAGCTAATAAAATGGAGCTAGAGGGAATCATGAATTAATAACGGAGTACATAATGCTACTTTAGATAATTATAGTAAGCCACTAACCTTTTCTGTATTTGTTTTATTTTCTTGCCTTATTTTAGTGTGTCACTGATTTGTTATTGTAGACTTCTCTTTCCCCAAGATATTCCAGTGAGCTTTATTAGAGTATAACATGAGGCAGATCAATGTAGGCAACACAGCACCAAGCTTCCTTTGAAGTAGCTTCACATATAGTAGCTACACAAAAATACATTTTAACATCTACTATTGGACTATTCTGTTCCATTTGTATACAAATCTTATTGAAATATCTGATTGCAGTGAGGAATCATTAGAATCACATCAATTAGTTTCAATCTGACATGACTTTTTGAGTAGGATCAGTTAAACATTAACACTTACCAATCACATTAAAAAGAAATACATACCCAAGAAATAAATGGGCATTGCACGAAAATTTTAATGATTAAAAAAGTAATCAGTCTGTATTTAACTTCTGAAACTGCGTGCACTCAAAAGCACCTTGGATATCTTTTTTTTCTAACATTACCCATAATGAGCCCACAGCAAAATAGCAAAATACAATAAGTCCCCTTAGTCAATGGCTGCATGGGTGATTTTTAATCTCAGACATTGAAAATGTCTCTCATAGACAATGTCACTCTGTAGTGTTCCTGCATGAGCTTTGAGATTTTTTAATTATTAAAGTGTTTTGTATATATAAAGTGTGTGTGTGTGTGTGTGTGTGTGTGTGTGTGTGTGTGTATATA